TCTCTCTCCCTCTCTCTCGGCGTGCAGAGCAGCGCGTGGCGGTGGTTAGGAAGGGACGCGGGAAGACGGCACGTGGGCACGGGAGGCGGGCTTGGCGCCAGGGGGAGAGGGCGGCGTTGGCGACGGCCTTGTGGCGGCGCTGATGGAGGGAGGAGCAACGCAGTGTCGCTGCCGCCGAGTGCCTGCTCGTGCGCACGCGACGCCGCTAGGCCTGGAGCACGGCGGCGTGGTCCGGCCATGGACGACGATGACGAGTAGGACGGTGACGCGCGGTTGAGGTGGGAGGAGAGGAAGGAGGCTTCGCCGCCCCACCCGCGACGGCCGCGTCGTTTGTCGATGAGGAGGACCAAGAGGTCGGAGAGACGCTACCGCCCTATCCGCCAGCACCCGCCTCCGCCACCGGCTGCCCACTCCGGCTCTGCCGCCAGCCGCTCACTCCGCCTCCACCTCCGCCATCGGTTGCCCCGGCCCCCGGCGAGCTCCGCCTCCGCTTTAGCCGCTCACCGCCGCCGGCTGCCCACTCCGCCTCCGACGCCGGCCGCCCACTCTGCCTCCGTCTCAGCCGGCCGCCCACTCCGCCTCCGCCATCGCTTGCCCTGGCGAGCTGCCAATGAGCCACGGCGCGCGCTCACGCGGAGGGGGGGGCACAGGAGCGGCGGCGGGCGCACCGGCGTGGCTAGGTAGACCAAGCCAGCGGCAGACGCGAACGGGAGAGGGAACTGGCTGGCAGCGGGAGCGGTGGGGAGGTGGCGACCACGATGACGGCAGATCAAGCGGCGCCGGTGACGGGAGTCGGCGGATTGAGGTCATGACGGACGGCCGGCTGCTATCGCGCGTCTCCCTTCCATCCTTCTCTGAGGTCCATCATCGAGCCGCCTCCTCGTCGTCCCCCTCCGCCGTCGCCGCCGTAGCCGTCCACCCCAACCTCCTCGCCTCGCGGCCGCAGCCGTCCACCCCGACCTCCTCGCCTCACGCCTGCCGCCGCCGTCCACCGCCCGCCCCCGACCCCACGCACCGTCGTCCGCCGCCCGCACGCACGAGATAGAGATTACATGAGAGAGAAACTAGGAAGAGATGAGGTGGAGGCATGACAAGTGGACCCCACCATTTTTTTTTAAAAAAAATACTGACCGGACTGCCATGCGTACGTCACGTAGGATAAAACAGCTCTGGATTAGGTCGAGGGGGGTAATTTTTCTGGTATTAAAAGTTCAGGGTGAGCAATGTCCGGTTTCGTGGTTCAGGGGTGTAATTCGGTCGACCGCAATAGTTCGAGGGTGTAATTCGTACTTTTTCCTTATAAATATTGCATGTCTTATGCATACTCACTATACGTTTGCATGTCACATCCTAATTAGCATCAGCTTTATAAAATTAACATTGACAAGCTATTTTGGTCTCATTCGCACAAACTAGACAAGTTCGTGTACCGAAATAAGCATATTACAAGTTTATATACTAAATTGCACCCACATAACAAGTTTGTGTACCACCAATGCAATTTACTCTTTTTCTATATAGAGGCTTCTTAAAAAAAATAAACAAATCTATTTTCTAATTTCATATAGTAATTAATATTCGATCTATCATGTGCTAACGGTTTGTCTAGTTCCGCATGTCGTCTCAACACCCCATCCGAACTCACAAGCATCAGTTGCGAGTGGCTTAATCCTTGAAAGCAATTGAATTCATGGATAAGTCAATTAACTGCAATTAGCTTTTCGGAAGATTTCGGTTGCGTTGCTCTAGCCGTAAGTGTGATTTAGGTTTATACCCGGTGTGGATCGGACTATTTTTAGGGGGAGAAATGTCAAGTGATTAACAAAGTAATAGTCATCCCCTCCATACATGAATTAGTTTATTTGGTCCCTTCATTAAATTTCTAACGTACCCCGGTTGCCCCATGGTAATTAGTTGTAACCATGAAAATTTCTAATAGCATGTCAAACAGGAAAAAGTCGTGCTTGTTAGGCGAGTTCATATTCGAGTAGGTACGTACTGAACAGTCACTTATCCTCTCTTGCGACGACTTCCATAACTCCATAGCCGATTCTCCTTAGCATATCATATTGCAGAAAATATTACGTATACGGTATACCAGACTCTGGTTTGGATGTAGAGATCGGGTTTTAATTAATAAAAAATATTGCAGCAAGGGCTGCATTTAGTTGGTGTCCCAAGTGTGAGAAGAAGAAAAACCGGGCGAGATGCAGCGGCTGGCTGGCTATGGCTAGCTTGGCAAATGGCAAGGTCTTTGCTGCTGCCTCCTCCAGTTATAAATACCAACACACCAACATGCCTCTTCAATTTCTACACAGAGTGAGAGAGAACAGCTATCGAGTACAACACTATAAAGGAGATGAGTTGGATGGGCAGGAAGCTGTTCCTGTACAACGTCACCGTTGGGCTGTACGTCATGGACTGGTGGGAGCGCTACCTCTTCAGTATCCTTAATTAACCCCCCCTCTCTCTCTCTTAACCCAATTAATCATTTTCTTTATCCTTGTGTTGTTTCTTGTCAAATTCCATTCAAAAGTTCATTTTAGTAACTTATTCATCCCGAGGATTTAAACGTGACACTTAAGCCACTTCTCTCCTCCCCCTGATTTTTTTTTTCTAACAGCAGCTCCAACCGAATATATCCAGTCTTATTAATTAGGGAACTTATAGTCTCTCAACCAATCAAATCTGAAATTCGATCCTATGAAGATTTGAATTTAAAATGACAATTTAGTCTTTCAAATAACCAAATCTAAAATTCACTTCTTTAAAGATTTAAACTTAGGATCCTGTGGTACTACTACTTAGGTCACTGCTATAAAGGCAAATGGTGTAAAGGGAAGAAAACAAGCAATCCGAACGTGGTGCATAGAGCAGAACGAGAGAGTTCCCTAGAGTAGATAATGTGGACTTTGTTGATGGCACGTAATGATTTTCTCTGTTTCAATTTTACTTGATATGGATCAATTTAACGGTGGTTCAAAGGTGCAAAACGCCAACTGAGCCAACTGGGGATCCCTTTTATCATAACACATGCAACTAATTTAATTTCTTATTTAAAGTGGAAAACACTCACTTGTGTTGTCCTTCGCTCAAAATATGGTCATTATGAATTGTGTGCTTTCTTTTTCTTTTTACATGAAAAAACTGTAAGCTGGTAATTTAGCTATAATTAAAACCTGGTTGACCTTTAACTACTGGCAATAGACAGTATAGTTCTGACTCTCCTATCGTTCATCTTCTACGGCGCTACACGATCTATGTGGCTGGCACTTGTCAAGTAAAATTTCATTCTCCTTAACCCTTATACACTGTCAATTCCTATTAGTAACAAGTAAATTTATTTTCTTTCTCTTGAGCAAGTGATATATACTGACGAAATTAAACTCCTTTCCACTTTCAATCTCAAAACTTCTCCAGCCATCTCAAGAGCGGGATTCTGCTTCCTAGCAGCGGAAACTATTCAATGGTGGCAAAGTCCTAAGCTATAATATACTGTGTAAACTACAAATATGAAGAACAAGGATATACTCCCTCCGTCTCTGAATATTTGACACCGTTAACTTTTGTAAACATGTTTGACCGTTCGTCTTATTCAAAAACTTTTGTGAAATATGTAAAACTATATGTATACATTAAAGTATATTTAATCATGAATCAAATGATTAAAAAAATTAATAATTACTTAAATTTTTTAATAAGACGAATGGTCAAACATGTTTAAAAAAGTCAACGGCATCAAATATTTAGAGACGGAGGGGTATAAGAAATGTACTGTATGGTAATCGACCGATCAGTTGTTTATATACTTGTTTTGCATTTTGACTAGTTTCAAAATGCTGTCATTTGTACTAATGCTACTCCCTGTTGTGCAATCCGGATATATAGTGTGAAAGTGGATGAGATTCAATAGGAATTTTGTGAGCACCATGGATTTATGTCTATTCTCTATCTATTAAAGTGCTAGCTACTCCTAAGTGTGTACACACATGCGTTTACTATGACAAATTTTATAACCCTATGTGAGGCCGGTGTGACCGAAGTGGAAAATCTGTATCTCGTTGATCAGGGTAACGATTTGGCCGAAGTGGAAAATCTTTACTACTTTGCACCATAGTTACATTTAGGCAAGATATGCTACATGAAACTTTACATTTTTGGCATTTACTTTAGGGCACTTTATCTCTCCATTTAGAAGGTCGATCAAGTGTTAAATTGTCTTTTACAAAGTTTTATCCTTGGAAAAGAATACATTAATATAATGGCCGGAGTGTCTTTTGTCCAATAACCTTAAAATTAGATTGTCTTATGGAAGCCTAAAATCAAATGGCACAAATTTAAAGCTTTTTGGAGAATATTTTTCCTTACATTTGTTTTAGATCACAGTACAAACACGTGCGCTTACAACACGCACTCAACTCTATAAACACACACATGCATGTGCACCCTACCCTTATGGGTACTTTCAAAAAACTGGGTCGGCACGATAAAATCATCACGGGTGTCTCGCTGCCAATAAGTACGTCGCCTACCACTGAACACCTACACCGAAAGAATAAATAACGATAAATGCGAGCACCTATGTCAAGTCTAGGACTTAAATCCAGACAGGCAGTTTCCACCGCAAGAAACCTAACTACTTGAGTACACTCACTCCGCCGTTGCATTACATTTATAATAGGTATGCAAGATCATGCCATCATATCCTTCATATTCTAGGCTTATTTGAAAGTTACTGTGATATTTGTCTCTGCTTACGTTTGAAAGAAACTAATAAAAATGGATTAAGACTAACCTTTCTCTCGAAGTCTCTCTCTCGGTGCTTCCCCTGAAGGGCTCTCTCCAGCGCTACGTCTCGCCTTGCCGGATCCCCTCTCCCCTCCATCTCCGGTGGCCGTTGGTCGCCGGGAGGGGGGGCTCCGGTGGCATGTCGAGCTTGTCTCGTAGTCGGGTAAATCCTGTTGTGGGTCTTGCTTTTTTCCTTTTCTTCTGCAGATCGAAGCAGATGGTGGTGTCTACCTCCTTCGTCCCGAAGTTCTTTGGCCATGAACGGACCTACTGAAGCTTGCTTTGGCATATGTTCTCTGGCTGGTGACCACCAGGTGAGCTCCAGACGCCCTCTACTTTTCTGCGTATACAGCTCGAAGTTCAACAGTTTCTCTTGCAAAGAGGTTGTGTTGGTTGTTCAACTTTCTCGCAGCAACCACTCCACAAGAGCGGCATTCTTTTTCTTCAGTGTCGCTGTCGGATCTGCAAAGGGCAGCTTTGATTTGTTGGTTTGGCCATGGTAGCTTCAACCTCCATAGCGGAGGCCCCGACTGGGATCGCTCCTCGGCTCTATCTTTTGAAGCTTGCCATACTATCATCTTCACCATCGTCGTTGACACAAACAGGATCGCCGGTCGTGTGAAACAAGCAGACGAAGGAGCCTATTGTTGGCAACTTTTTTTTGACAAGAAGACAATCATGATCGGACACCTAAACACCATGCGGTGATATGGAATCGCTAAAAATCGTGTTGGCAACTTTTTTGGCAAGAAGATAATCACGGTCGGATACCTAAACACCTTGCGGTGATATGAAGTCGCCAACCACCCCAATCTAGCAAAAAGCTAGACCAAGACGGGTTTTGATATATTAAACTGGCTAACGGAGCCGATTTAGATAGAACGATGGATAACTACCCGTCTCATAGGCAAACGGAAGACTGGATAAACCTACAAAGGATCTCGCACTCTCGTAGCGAACGCGGACAATTTATAGCGCAAATCGACAAATATGGACGAACTAAACTAGAAATAGATTGAAAATATTGAATAAGCGATTCAATAGGCTTGTATGTAGATTGTGTGTTGTATGTTACAATTGAACTGGCCTTGTCCCTTATAGGAGTTGGTCTTGCCTCCTACAGGTCCTCCACGTTCAATTCGGAGTAGAAACCAAAGGAAACCGAAACATAGCCTCCAGAGTAAGGAATCCTGAGACCTGATGAAAACAGACTCGGGCCCTCAGGCCGTTGTCTGATCGGCCACATGCCGCCGGTCAGACCGGCCCCGTGGAGGAAACCAGAGACTTTCCTAAATGTTGGCAATTTTCCTTATTTTGAGTCTAGGTGCCAAATTTGGGTGTAAACACTTATTGCTTATTTTTCGTTCTTTTTAAGTCCTTTCATCCAAAATTTCCAATGTATGCTCAATTTGGCCGTTTATGCTCATGTGTAGGGATGAAAACGGAGCGGATAGTTTCCGTCTGCTCCAGATAAAAACGAATACAGATACCTTTCGGATCAGATAATTCTTGGATAGTTCGGATACAGATACAAATATAGATATTTTCTCTCGGATACAGATACGAATATGGTATCGGGGTTTTCATCGGATACGGATAATAATTCGGATATCCGGTGAACAGTGCTATTCGGATATCCGCAGGAGCCACAAGACATACCCTATTTTTTTATAACTCTATGACCTTCAATATACCTTTCTATATTTTTAATAGTAGTTCACCTCTTAACGCTAGTCCACACTATTAATATTATTTAAATTTTTAAAAATATTTATAAATTATACTACATTTTATATAAAATGAGCTAATTATATATGTTAAATAGTAGTTCACCTCTTAACGCTAGTCCACACTATTAATATTATTTAAATTTCTAAAAATATTTATAAATTATACTATATTTTATATAAAATGAGCTAATTATATATGTTGATATTTGTTTCCATTAGAAGTTGAGTTGGTTTTCGTGTTCTGAGAAAAAAATTGTTTCCGTATTCGTGTCCGATCATATTCGACTCTTATTCGTAATCGAGATAGTTTGTATTTGTTTCTATATTCGAGCTATCCATATTCATTTCCGTATCCGGCAAAAAATATGAAAATGAATATGGTATGAGCATTATCCGTCCGTACCCGCTCCGTTTTCATCCATACTCATGTACCATGTATCTAAACTTTATATTAAATTAATATATGAGTCTTAAAAAAAGATTAAGGGTGTGTTTAGTTCCACGCTAAAATTAGAAGTTTGACTAAAATTAGAAGTTTGAAGAAAAAAGTTGAAAGTTTATGTGTGTAGAAAAGTTTTGATGTGATAGAAAAGTTGGAAGTTTGAAGAAAAAGTTGAGAACTAAACCCGGCCTAAGACTTTGCTTTTTAAAACTTCTCGTCGACTTACAGGCAATACGTTAGTCAAGGAAATAGGAATAACCCAGCGGCCAAGCGACCTGACATTCCAACCTTTAGTGAAAACCACATCAGCTGCTGAATGCTGGTAACCCCCCTTCTCCTTGATCCCTTGCTCTCTACGAGAGGTCTCTGCTCCGAAGACGTGAGATTGATGAGGCTGTTCAGAGAGCTTGCAGAAGATGGCGTCCTTGGAAGCTACCAACCGCCTCCTACAGCTGAGAACAGGTAACTAATCCACACAAACCGAAGCAATTAATCTATTAAATCCTGTTGTTCAAGTGGTAGTTTATTGTGAAGAAGATGGGTTAATTTAATTTGGAGTTACTGCCAGCTTTGCCAAATTTTTAACTTGCCCATGGTTGTCATCTTGCATTTGAAAACATTTGTCGGTTAGATGTTGTGAACAGGTTTTCGCGCAATGTAGAAGGGTGGTTGGACGTCGGTTCATAGTTTCTGAACTCTGAAGTCCAAAACTTTTACAGCTAGGGTTACAGGGATTTCTAGCTGAACAGAAACAATTTCAAACTCTGGCTGGGAATCAGGTGCTTTAACACAGTGAGAAAGAAAGATCCCGAAGCATTTAAACTCAAAAGTTCGAAAATTTTAGCTCAGGCCTTTCAAATCTGACACAAATTTTCAAAATTTGAGTTTTGGATAAAATTTGGAGATGAAAGGGGCAGGGAGAAATGAATAAGAGTCATGAATTCGAGGAGGGGAAAGCGTCAAAGCGAAGACCGACCAAAGTCAAGCTGTCAGCCCGTCGTCCTCCTGCTGGTTGATCAAATAAACTTGAGTAATCAATTAGCTGACAACATGATTTAGTGAAAATTTCATCTTCTTTCCTCAAAACAAAAAAGAACAATTTTCAACTTCATTCTAAAATGCTTTCTTCCAAAGTACACGTATGTTTCCTTAATTCCTTTCATATGCATAGTAAACTGGTAATCAGGTATCATTCGTTTGAAAAAAAAACACCAAGGAATTGCTTTAAAACATCAAAAATATAATTCACGCCAAATAATTTGTGAGCAAAAACTAAATTCCGAGAAAGTGCTAGCAATATTGGCCGCAACACAAACTATATGGTCAAAACCGAATCAACTTATTTGAAGTTGATGCCTTGAGATTCCTTCGAGATCAACGGCTAGGTCCTTTTAAAGTTGATGCTGTTAGAAAGCTTGAAACTGAATTCGAAACGTGTATAACTTCATATCTTGTCTTCTTGGAGTAGACTTGTGGAAGGTATTGCTTTTGTCCCCAATCAACTTATCTGATCATCCATGGATTCCTTGCACTCAATCTCTTTCCCTTTACCCAAGCAAGTACCTCTGCAAATGATAACACACAAAATTCATAGTGCAATAATGTGTATTCAAATATATAACACGTAAATCTCACATATAAGACATGCACTTTTGCATGATGGATACATAAGATAGACATGGTCATATCCGAGCTAGTGATGTCCTTATCAAATAGCCTCAACATAAACTTCAAGAAATAGAAAACGAAGAGAGAAATTGATTGGTGGCAAGTGTACTGCGGCTAGTATTCTCATCACCATCTTTGCTATTGATAGTGCTCTTGTTGGATTGTGCTTGCTTGCTGCTATTGTTACAATTTCATATTCTCAGAGAATTTATTGTGTTGAATATGAAGGACCATCAACTGAGTAGGTTGTCTCTCGGATCATCAATGGCCACTTCATAACAATAAACATCAACCATACCTTTGCAACTGATTTTGTGAATGCAATGGAAGCAGTCTCCAATCACAGCATGATTTTTCTGAAGAAAAATACTTAAATTTCGAGATCCAGATAGTAATTCTCACGTCCACTGCGTCGCCCGCATGCAGGCGGCTTAGGGGAAAACCCTAGCTGTTGCCGCCGCCGCCCCCTCCCCCCTCTCCTCCACCTCGCTGCTGCCGGAGCTCACCACCGGAAAGCCTTGCGGCGAGCCAGGATGGCGGTGGTGGGGCCAAACCCTAGTGAAGCCTGCCTTTGGCACGGGAAAGATAGTGTAGCGATGTGCGAGCGGAGAAGGCGGCGCCATGGCGCGAGCAAAGATGGCGTGGTGTGCAGCGGGAAGAGAGGGTGGCATTGTGGCGCGTGTGCGGTGAGAGGCATTGGATCTGGCGCTACCGTGACGGGATATGGGGTTCCCGACATGGGCCCTAGTGGAGGCGTGGTGTGGGGCGGTGGCGCGGCGAGGGGCGCCGCCATGACCAGACTAGGCAGACTTGGTGCCCCCATGGAGGGATCCAGCATGGAGCGCAGGTGGGCGACGCGCGCTACGTCGGGAAGGCCTACGAGACTGGCAATGGCAGGGCAGGGAGGTTAGCATGGGCACAGCAAGAGGCAAATGTGTCCGGTGCCAGCAGGCGACCGGTGCAAATGAAGAGACTGGTGGTCGTGGTGGCGACAACAGGAGCTGGCTACCGGTGGGGCGCCACTGTGGCGGAGATATGACTTGGCAGAGGTTTGACTGGGTGATGGAGCTTGGGGTGGCAACGATAGATATGGGAAAGGGTGTTGCAGATGAAAACCTAGCTTGGGATCTCCGTCGGCAGTGACGATGCCTTCTGCCACCGTGACCCCCCTTTGCAGGGGCGAAGCAGGATTTTGAGCCACTGGGGTCATGGCTTTTATTTGTAATAATGTAGTATTTGAAAGTCTAATTATTCTCGTAGCTAGATATCTTTAGCTAAAAATTCTTTTGGAGCTAGAGCTATGAGTAAGTTGGATTGTTTCACTTTGCAAAAAAAAAATGTTTAAAGTCTAAATTCTATAAGAATTTATGAGGTTTTTAAGGTCCAAAAATTTGAAAGGTAAGACTATATAAAACCGTGCATAACAACCATGTGTTTTCTGGGACATAAAAGTATGTTCCAAAAGTTGTTTATTACTCCCTCAGTCTCAAAATACAACTATCTACGTCTCTTTTTTCAAGAGATTAATGCTAGGGTGTGAAATAGTTATGATTGGTTGAAAAAAGAAAGTAGATGAACAAATTAAATTAGGGAATATTGTGATTGGTCGAGATGAGATGATACATAGAAATTTAGCTGTATTTTAAGACAAAATTGAAACATATTTTGAGATGGAGTAAGTAGCTTAAAAAACACAGGTAACATCTAGTAGTTGATTAGCAAAACTATAGGCCTAATGCATTATACATGGCACATAGCTAAAATAAATAGTTAATTAATATATCAAATATGTCTAATTGCAGCATTAATAGTGGATTGAAAGTAGCGTAACACAGCTAACAAATTGTGCTTCCAAAGAAAGAAGCGGTATTGTTTCAGTTTTCATGAGCTCCAGTGTGGGCTAGCCAGGGTCATCAAGCTTTAGTTGTTGAGGTCATTAGCTACAAAATACAGAACAATACACTTGATCAATTGAATGCCATCGGGGTCATCTGACCCCAATGATATAACTGAAGCTCCGCCCCTGTCCCTTTGGGACATTGTTGAGCGGCCACCATGCCACCCTTGGCAGGACTCTCCAAGTGAAAACCCCTGCCCCTTTAGGACATTGTTGAGCGGCCACCATGTCACCCTTGGCAGGACTCTCCAAGTGAAAACCTAATCCATTGGGTGGGCGCAGGTGGTGTATCTGCCATCATGTCCTCTCCTTAGAGGTGTTGATTAGGAGATCCTTTGTTTCTCACCTTGATTGTCTTTACTCAGTTTAATCGTCGGCTTCCTCTTGGTTATTGTCATCAGGTTAGAGCAAGGGACGAGTGATCTCCTAGTCTCTCGCCCTCTCACTCTCCTCAACCTCTCTACATGAGGATATCTGGGAGTTCGTAGACTTTCTTATGTGCGGAGTCTGAGTTCGTAGACTTTCTTATGTGCGGAGTATGTGTTTAGTGGGACGTTTGGAACCCCACTTTAGGTCTAGCGGCAATGGGCCACGAATAGCAATGATCGGTTTGGTGCTAATACTCTCTCCAAGGTTGCGTGAGGAGTTGCCATCTTGTGGTGGACTAGTGGTGGTGTGTTTGTTTTTGTTTTTACTGGTTACAATTTTTCAAGGTTGTAATCTTGTATTTTTTTCCTACTATATCAATACGAAACTTCGCACTTTCTTATACGGGTTGCTTTAAAAAAAATTTCCTAAAGAGAAGTTTGATGATGAACTGGAGCTTTCTACATATTGTAGCCAAGAGAAGTTTGGCCACATGTCACACATAAATAGTCCATATAAATAAAGTGGTAATGAACAACAATTGATTTTGTTACTATATTCCAGCCAATTGCTAGCAGGTTAGATTGGTCATTTCGCACGCCATATCCATGCTGGCATGCACATGTGGCGCTCCACGGTAAAAAAAGTGACAAAAAAACACAAAAACTTCTCATTTTAAAGACAAATTCTTAAATTTAAAACTAAAAAGGGTATTTAACTAACTGAAAAACGTAAAAGTGGCAAGTAGTTAAATTCTCCGTCGATCAAGTTCACCCCTCGCCGTGGGAGTCCCCTGTCCGTCGCCGCCACCGCCGCCGCCGCCGGCGGCGGGTACGGGGGCCCGATGACAAGCGCGCCTAGGCTATCTTCTTCCACCATGGGGATCTCCTCCTACCTCCTACTCCTTATCCTCCACTTCGTCGCATTACACCCTGGGATGGATCCATCCTCAATCGGTGAGCCCCGCTCCCTTTCTCCCCCAAATTCATCCCCCACTTGGGGTAAAATTACCACCTAGTGATATGTGTGGTTGCTGGATTTCATACTCCCACACCCTAATTTGTTGATTTAGCCACATTCGTATAGGAACCGATTGGCATTCTAAGTTTTCTGCAGGGGGTTACTCTCTAGTGTACTCTGAAACATCATGCATCAGTGCCGTACAGTTTGGCGTTTTTTTGACAAATTGGTCCTTGCAGAAAACTTATTTTGAAACTAGTCCCTACCAAAAACTATATCCAGAAATAGGCCGTCGGATCAGCGCCAAAGCGGTTGGCGCTGAGGTTGTTCTTATCTGCGCCAACGGGACTGGCGCTGACATCGCGCCAGCGTGGCGGGCGAGGCGCGATGTGGCAGGGCCTCAGCGCCAATGCACTTGGCGCTGACACCTTGCACACCCTAAATAGACCGATGTGCGGCAATGAATTAACGGTGTCGCTCGTGGTGCAACGGTAAGTTTCTTTCTTGCTATATCTGAGGACTAGGGTTCGAATCCCAGGTCAGCCATTTTTGTTTTTTTTTTAAAATCATCAATCTACGTGCGTACATATTAATGATGATCTCCATTTTCGTTTTTGTCTTCAAATCTTCAATGTACTTTTTTTTGTTTAAATTAATTTTTATTAAAAAGAAATATCACATTTAGTACAAATTTAAAAAGTAGAAGAATGGATTAAAAAAAGTTTAGAGACAACTTTTAAAAGAAATATCACTTTTTTATAAAAAAGAAATTAGAAGAATGGATTTAAAAAAACTTGAGTTTTTTTTTAAAAAATAAACAACAAGTTGAGAACTAAGGGTAAGTTTTATTCTAAAATGTCACGTGTTTTTTTAAAATTAAAACAACACTTGAGCTTGTAAAAGAAATATCACTTTTTTAAAAAATATTTAAAAGGAATAACACATTTAGTACATATTTAAAAATAAAAGAATGGACTTAAAAATACCTGAGCTTTGAAAAAGTTAAAACCGCAAGTTGAGAACTAAGTAAAAAAAAGTTTAGTAAAAACATAAAGGAGAGGGTTCGAACCCTGGTCACTGTAACGCCACCTTTCAAATACCTACCACTGAGCTAAGCCAAACCTAATTGTTGCTTTTGCTTTTGCTTTTATTTAGCCAGTATAAAGGCCAGCGCCGCTGTAGAACATATATTCTGATATTTATATTTATATATATATATATTTAAAAAACAGAGAGCATCATTAATCATTTATATGTACTAATGTACGCACGTAGATTGAAGATTTGAAGAAAAAAAAAAGAACGAACAAGGCTGCCGTGATAGGGAGTCAAACCATGGTGCTAGGGTACACAAGCAAATGGTCATACCATTGCACCACAAGTGCATTGCTTATTAATGGCCGCGCATCCTTTTAATTAGCCTGTACAAGGGGTCAGCGCCAAATACTTTGGCGCTGAGGCCCTGCCACGTCGCGTCTCGCCCGCCACGCTGGCGCGATGTCAGCGCCAGTCCCATTGGCGCTGATATGAACAACCTCAGCGCCAAAGAGGTTGGCGCTGAGCCGACGGCCTATTTCTAGATATAGTTTTTGGTATGGACTAGTTTCGAAATAAGTTTTCTATAAGGACCAATTTGTCAAAAAAACGGTACAGTTTGACTGGCTAAGTACATGGCAACGATTACATTTCATAATCAAGGATTTTAATTGAAAAAAAATATTCTGATTAAATAGGAGGGCGCCCGCTGAGTTTATTTATTAAACCAGATAGTAAATGGAACGCAAAGTGAGCACTGCTACATGGCTGATATTTTTATCCTGTTTTTTGTTTTTTTTCAAGATTTGGACTTGTCTTTTCTTATAAGAAAAACTAGAGGCTTCCACTTACTAACATTTTATAGTCAAAAGAGATAGTGTTTTTGGCTTCCCTCACTCTGTATAGTATCTGGAGTGTTGAGCTGTTACCGCAGTTAAGTGCTATAAGGCTACTTATGCTTGTGTATTTATCTATGTTCTTTAATCTTTATATTCATGAATGGATAATTTACTTAAAAATACTTCTTTATTGTAATTAATGTGCAAAATGATTTGAGATTCAACTTAAGATAGTATGTGAAGATAGGGAAAGAATTTGCTACAAGACATAACATTAAGTGTTAGTGTTTGCTTGGTGACAGTCTAGAGTTTTGGTTTGTTGGAAAACACTTCTAAATGTGGTGACTTGATTCAATATATTGAGCATGATTAAAATAAGATTTTCCTATGTTCCGGAATAGAATATCTTACATTCTTACTGATGTAAAAAATTCACCTTTGTGTCCTTGTTGTGGAACATACTCCCTCCCTCCCAAGGGACTCTGGCTATGAATTGTCTAGATTCTTAGCTAGAATCCCTTACATTTAGGGACAAAGGAAGTATCAAATCATACAGAACATATATGCAATCATTCTTACTCTTATTTTTTCTTTCAATCCTTTAAATTACCGGTACACTACATCAGCTCACTATCACGGGCCCAACAATTCATCAACAAGTGGGAGCTGCAGTGCATGCTGCTGGCGAGCTTCTCCTTGCAAATCTTCCTCTTGTTCTCCTCTGGCTTCCGCAAGCGCCACAGCTCCCGTGTGCTCAGTGTGCTGTTGTGGCTTGCCTACCTCTCAGCTGACCCTGTCGCGGTTTATGTCCTCGGCCGCCTCTCGCTACGCGCCAGTGGCTCCTCTGACCCACGGAACCAGCAGCAGCTAGTCCTCTTCTGGGCACCCTTCCTGCTGCTCCACCTCGGTGGGCAAGAGACCATGACGGCCTTCTCCATGGAGGACAACACGCTCTGGAAGCGCCACCTGCTGAGCCTCGCCACCCAGATGGCGACGGCTATCTACGTTGTCAGCAAGCAACTGCGAGGAGACAGCCGGCTCGTGGCTCCCATGGTGCTTGTGTTTGTCTTTGGGACAGCTAAGTACGCCGAGAGAATTTGGGCGCTCAGGAGAGCTGGCTCTGTGGCACCTGGAACGAGTAGCTCCACTGCAAATCTTGTTTCTCGTGCCTCCAGCAACGCCGTCTGGGACACACAGGGGTATTATAGTCAGCTGTGCTATGTTATTGAAAGGAAGCTGGAGAGAAATTTCGAGTTCATCCTGGCTGTAGCAAATGAGGGCTTCAGACTAAGCCTGGGCTTTTTCATGGATATGACACCTTCAATTTCTCTGCTTCCGGAGGATATCAGTGAGATCAAAAATAGTGTGGAGGTTTTTAAATCTTCAGAGGATATTGTCCACATGGCATACAAGCTGGCCGAGATCAATCTCTCCCTGATTTATGACTACTTGTACACCAAGTTTGGGACGCGCCATTTCCACATCGTCCCAGTTTGTAATGTCTTCCACTTGATCATCAAAATTGCTCTAATCTCGGTGGCGCTCGCGTTGTTCATGAGGGCCAGAGCTGGACAAAAGGCACATGATGTAGTTGATGTTATCATATCTTACATACTGCTTGTTGGTGCCATTGTTCTGGAGATATGCTCTGTCCTCATGTCATTCATCTCATCATGCTGGGCATACAAGACGATCATCACTCTTCCCCTAGCATGCCCACTGTGCCAAAAATTCCCTGGTGTAATTGCAGCATTGCTCAGCTTGGTCAGGCATCTCCACCCTGACAGCCGAGGGGAGTGGTCAGGAAAGCTGGCTCAGTACAACATGATTGAGGGATGCATCCAGGAGAAACAGGCAGGCGCTGGCCTGCTACGACGGGCGAGGCGCTACATCGGCATCGATGACAGCAAGGCCATCAAGCATATCGGTGTCTCTCCTGAGGTCAAGAAGCTGGTCCTTGACAAACTGTTGGAGATAGCATCCACTTCGCGCGTGCTGGAATGGGACCTTGGTGTCGGCAAGTTTCGTGGCCAATGGGCTCAGTGGGTTGTTGAAGCGAAGGAAGACCATCTCCGTAGCGCAGCTCAGCAAGTGCTTCAGGTTAGTAACATCCAAGGCCTGGAATTTGTGTCGAGCGTCCTTCTTTGGCACATCATCACAGACATATGTTTGCTTGTCGATGAGGATGAAGATGGCGGTGCTGAGCTGAGAGGCCCTATCAGAGACCTGTCGGAGTACACCATGTACCTAATTGCAGATTGCGGCGTCATGGCTGGCAGCGAAGGACATTTCGTGCTCAGGAAGGGCCGCCATGAGGTGTTAAGCTGGCTGCGGGAGAAGGGTGAATCTGGATGTGACCGGAGGAAGGTGATTGAGGAGATTCGCAATGAGGACAGCTCCTTCTTCGCTGATAACTATTACCCTGTGCTCGATCGAGCTCGCCGGGTATCGTCGGACTTGCTTGTGCTTGAAGAACCCGGCGATCGATGGGAGCTCATTGCTGCGGTGTGGATGGAGATGCTTTGCCACATTTCATACAACTGCGGGGCTGGGTTCCACGCCAAGCAGCTGACGACAGGTGGGGAGTTCGTCACGCATGTCAAGATGCTCCTGTTTATGCTCGGGGTGCCTTTTCTGAGGGATGTGAAGGAACCGTTGTTCTACAGGGCTGGGAACCTCTATTCATAAGGTGCTGGAAACTTTTCAGTTTTCCTTTCTTCAGCTTGATCCAACAAGCTTCGTTTGTTTGGCTTGTGGTGTTAAGTTTTCGGTCATGTGTTGGCAGCTACAGTACTTCTAGGCTGTTTTCTTGCAATGAACTATGAAATACTTCTTCCTGTATCATAATTTTTGGGGATCAATTAAATTGTATTTGTACATAGGGAGTATGAGGCTGTGAGCTGAAACACCTTGTACCCAACCTATTTGTTTGTCTTTATCTGTAAATTAAAGTTTTGATTTGCTGGGTGCATTAAGAGCATAATGTTCCATAGACTTATGGCATTTTCTCCTCTCTTTTTTTTTTCAATTTTTTCATAGAAATATGTTTCGATAAAATTACTACAACATATTTATTGGATTATATTGTGTGGGCATTACTTTCAATGTTATGAACAGATGGTAATCTATATTCGAAATGGCTAATATCTATGTAAATAGTCTAAATAGATCAATTGGTGAGACAGGCATATATATTTCTTTGAGGGCTATGTGGAAAAGGGAGGGGGGGTTATTATTCTGATCTTAATCGGAGAAGAAGCAAATCGACAAACAAAGTACAGTGGCACTGTGGCAGCAGTCGCATTGTTGGTTCACTTGGTTGTTCATGTCCCCGAAATATTTTTAGTGCAGCATGCAGATTGCGGGTTCAGTTTTCGAAAAAAACGACGTTAAACTATATTGCAGCAGCAGCTAGCAGAATAATAACACAAGGCCGGCTTGCGTTTGAAAATTTTCTTGTAAATAAAATCAAATCATTCGAGCTTGTTTGAAATACACACAAATTCCGCGTACTATCAGTTTAGGCCTTATTTTTTTTTAGCTTGGGATTATTATAATCTAGATTATTGAGTCAGATTACTATAAATTAGATTGTTATAATCTGTGGTAGAATAAGCGGTTAGTTGTTTCTTTTCTAGATTATTAGAGCCTAGATTATTGGGTTTGCAAGTCTAAAGGGGAGGTGGGGTGGCATGGTGGGTAATTTTTCACCCAATAATTTAGAAAAAGCTTACCTAAATGAGCTTATCAGATTATAATAAATTGTGCTCCAAATTATAATAAACTACTTTAATAAGTTATCTATTTTTTTCAGTTTACTTCTAATAATCCGGATTATAATAATCTCAAGGTGAAAGAAACAGCTCCTTAGGCTCGCTCTCTGCAACTGAGCAGTTGAGCTTGGCGTAGTGCTTGACCGCGGTCTCGAGTTGCATCCTGTGGGCTCGCGACGCGCGACGGAAGAAGCAACGCATGCACGAGACGAAGACAAGTCCGTCCGCGGATTTGAGGCAGTTAGCTGATCTGAGCTGCAGGCGAGGCGACGGCCAACATGGACCAGGCCAGCCACGTACGGTACGGCAACCGTTGACGTCAAACTCGAGGGGCTAAAATTCAAGTAAACAATTAAGCCGGTCGGGTAAAGACTGCTCCCGGACGAACAAAGAAATTGCAACACCCTTTTCCGGTTTAAACCTACAGTACTATATAAACAGCCATCCGTGACGACGAAGAGCACCACAACCAAGACGCGTGGAGCCGAGCCGACGAGCCCTCATCAGATCAATCAATCGCTAGAGGAAGAAAAGAGCAGCAGCAGCAGCAGAGGAGGACGAGAAGGAGGAGATGGGGGAGATGAACTGGGTGAGCAGGAAGATCCACCTCTACAACGTCACCATGGGTCTCTACATGCTCGATTGGTGGGAGCGCTGCCTCTTCAGTATCCTTCTCCATCTATTTATTTACTAGAAATTATTGCTCTTTTCTTGCTGATTTCGTTCGTGTTTTTTTTTTTTTGGGGGGGTGTGGGAATTACCATCTTCATTATCTCTGGTTTTGGTTGGAGTTGGATTTTGTTTCAGTTTGTCTTTGGGGGATAGAAGATCAATGTGAACAATGGAAAACTGGTCGCGCATGGCCATTGATTAGGCACATCTCATCAATTTCACTTTGCAATTTTTAATATGAGGAATCTGCTTGCATGATTGTATTGGCATTATTATTCAGTCGTTCCTCTTTAACTGGAGAAGACATGATGGTACTGATTCTGCTTTGGTTCGTCTGCTTCAATGGCTCTCGCTTTGCCAGCGACGTCTTCGACAGGTACACATCCCGCTCCCTAATACTCCTAATTTCCTACTATCATCTTAGTACTATGAGTCAATCCAGTTTAGGCCTATACCGGACCATGATTAATTTCATTGCAAACCTACAAGTTCCTGCACTAAAATGGAGGAATTTAATTTATACCATTTGGACCATTTGAAGTCTTAATTAAAGATCTACTAGTATTTGATTTGGATCATTCGATCTGTTGCTGCTTTGAATTGTTTCACTTAATTGTTCATATGTAGTAATTCTATTTTCTATTTTTCTAACGAACTATTTCGGTCATATTGATCCTTAATTATTTTCCATCAAACCTCTTTCAGCCATCTAAAGGCTCGGATTATACCTGGTGGAAACTATGGCTTGGGCATTGAGAAGTAAAAGTAAGGAGGAAGCAGGTTATGAAATTATGGAAGCGGCTCAAATAACATCGGACTGTATTTTGGTGTACGAAATAGTTCCAAAATGAAATCTGTTTATGATTATTTTTATACCGATATTATGTGCAGTTATAGAATCATAAATTGAATTGTAAGATTTTTCGTTCTGATCTTCAATTGATCGAGCCTGATTTTTTAAATATTGCACTCAGAGGGATGGTTCATGTCTCCAAAGATGTACGTACAAAAGTACCTTCTTTTTTCTGCAGATTCGGAGTTCAGTTTCTGAATTGGTCGAAAATTTCGGGCTGAAATTTAATTTCGAAAATTCCAGGTCTATCGGACCCCTCGATACGAAATGGTCTCGGACGAAATTTTTGGATTTATTTTTCGAATTTGGTAAAAATTGTTCGAATTTGACCAAATTCCGGACGAAATTTCAAGAAATCAAATTATTTTCGGACTAACATTTCAGAAATTCCGGGCATATCGGTACCCCCGATGGAAATAGCAAAAACTAAAAATTGAGCCCTGGTTTCAGAATATACATAATGCTTCTATTTCATATGTGGTTTTGCAAATCGCATCAAATATTCAAATCATTCAAGCTTGTTTCAAACACACGCATATTTCACCACAATTCAATATTATGCTCTCTGCGAGTGAGCAGCTGCAACCAGGGCGGCGCCGAGCCCGGAGCCGTCGCTGGCGAGCTTGACGACCACCCTCTCCGCCGCCGCCTCTCCGAGCAGCTCCCTCACCGCGCTCTCCATGCACCGCCGGAACTTGCCGTAGTGCTCGAACAGCCCGCCGTCCACGGCGACCACCGACCTCCTCCTCCGCCCCTCGCCGCCGTCGACCCTCCCGATCTTCTTCAGGATCCCGACGATCCCCGCCGCGGCCAGCCGGGCGGCCCTCGTGGCGACGATGTCGCACACCTCGACGACCATCCTCCTCGCCTCCGGCGACGTGCCGCGGATGCCCAGCGTGCGTTCCAGCTTCTCGCCGACGATGCTCAGGTCGGGCGTCTCGTCGTGGTGCATCGCGGACACGTCGGGTGTCCTGAGGACGAACGGCGTCGCGAGCTCGCCGGCGCCGCCGAGGAGGGAGGGGCACCGGGAGGAGATCTTGAGGAGGACCCTCCTGACGATCTCGCCGAGGTACATCCCGGAGATGAGCTTCTCGTAGGTCTGCTCGCCGGGGTTGAGGCTCTCCTGATCGAGTGCTTCGTCGAACTCCGTCAATGGGAGGCACGGCGAGGCGAAGCTGCCCCACTCGGTGTTGATCACCATGGTGTTCGATGCTGGCAGCTGCGATGGGTGTAGCTTGGCGATGGCGGTGGCGTCCTCGACGTAGGCGGCGTTCGTGCCGGTGCCGAGGATGACGGCGGCCACGACGTCCTCGTCGTAGTAGCTGCCCGCGGCGAGCGTCCCGACGGTGTCGTTGATGAGCGCCGACACGCGCATGTCGAGCCCCCGCTCCGACATGGCCGCCTGCAGCGCCGCCACGACGTCCTCGCCGATCGCGTCGTCGACGGCGAACGCCTTCGTCCACCGGATGAGCGTCCCCGACGCGATGGAGGTTTGGTGCACGGGGAAGGAGAAGGTGAACCCAAGCTCCCTCTCGCCGCCGTCGAGGCCGCCTTCTTCTTCCTCCTCGCCGACGAACTCGGCTAGCGCGGAGGCGATGAAGCCGAAGAGGCACTCCGAGGTGGCGCCGCCGCCGGACATGAGGCCGGGAGGGATCGGGACCTCCCTCGCCACGCGCTCGGCGACGCCGCCGCCGGCAAGCCGCACGCGGAGGACGCGGAAGTTGGTGCCGCCGAGGTCGAGCGCGTAGTACGACCCCTCCTCGCCGCCGGTGGGGAGGCTGTCGACGTACGACACGATCATCTTCATCTCGCTGCTGCCGCCCTCCACCGCCAGCCCGGCCTCCATCTCGCCGGCCATCGCCGCGGCCACCTCCGCCAGCCTCGCCGCCGGCGTCGCGCACGCTTCTCTCAGCTCCGCCACCACCCTCTGCGCCGCCGCCATCTTCGGCATCGGCGGCGCAGCTGCAGCAGGAGGCGCCGCGCAAGCGCAGCCCTCCCGGAGGCTCGTCATCGTCACCACCTTCTGATCTGCCGCCACCGCCGCCGCCGCCATGGTCCCGCGCGAACGAATCGAACAAGCTTTGAACCGCACGAAGGTTTCTTGGCGATCCGCACCGGGAACAAGATGTCAAGAAGGCGCGCGCGGTGCTCGATCGATGCCGGAGGAGGAGATGCGCGACGCGCCATATTTATGGCGGCGGTGGTGGGATCAGCCATGGATTCGGATTTCCGAGTCGGATCCAAACTTCGAATTCCGAGTCGGAAGACGCGCGCGCGCGCGCTCCAGTCCGATGGAGCGTACTGTACGTTGACATTTTGAAAGCCCACGGATAAGGCAACAGGAGACTGCTACAGGTCGGACATTCAATTTGGTGTAAATCGTCGGATAGTGTTGCACCGTGTTATCGAGAAATATTTCACATGTTTCACCTCTCGGTAAAAATTGTTTCAATGAAAATTTTCCAGATGTTCCACTATGAGAGAAAAATATTTCAGCGCTTTGAGCAAAATTATTTCAATTAAAATGCAATATTCAAAAATACTGATTGCAACACAAAGAAATTAATTCATGCAACATCAAGTCAAAACGGAATGAAATATATTAATACAATAAAGTGCAACAAAAAATACAAATAAGCTATAACATAACTAAAAATTCCCAACAAAACCAACATCTATCTTCTTCTATTCCGGCCACCAGAAACAAGCAACCGACACAGGAGAGAGACACGAGGTGGTGATGTTAGACAAGAACGAGTGCAAATACAACATTCAAACACATACCAATGGCAACAAGAAGAATCAACACATGCAACATTGAATCAAAATAGAATGAAACATTATGCAAAAAAACTGCAACGGAAAAATAATAGGGTGCAACATCGCTAAAAACTCTGACAAAATAAACCCACCTCCATCCTTTTCTTCTACTCCGGCCACCACAACCACCAATGCGGCGGAGGAAGGTGACAACGTAGCAAAGATGCACAGCGAGGTAAGCGGCCTCCGGCCATGGCCAAGGCTAGCCGTGTCAGCGCCCAGATCAGACACCTCCTCCCCATCCCGCGTCGCCGTGCCTAGCCACCGTCACTGCCGGCGATGTTCAACGCCTCCACCCTATCCCACATCACCCTACACCCCTGCCATGCTACCTCAGCCGCCGTCGTGTGGCCGCCGGTGAGGTCCAGCGACTCCTCCCTACCATGCGCCACCGGTGAGATCAAACACCTCCTCCCTACCACGTGCAGCCTTGCCCCAGTCACCAATGTCGTCGTGTGGCTGTCGGCGATGATGTCTCGCCATCTCTCGCGACTCCCCTGGTGTAGAGACTTTGAGAAGAGAGAGACTTTGAGGAGAGAGAGTATGAGAAGAGAAAGAAATGAAAGGGAACGTGTGGTGGAGGAAGATAGCTGAGAGTTGTGGATAAGAAGGAGGCGTCCGATATTTTGCGCTCGTTCAAACGTCTTAAACAAACGTTTTCGGGTTGAATCTGAATTGAATATAGTGAAGACCCTTGGTCTTAATCAAAATGGTGTGATTCAGCTCGCTGAATCAAACTCATAGATATCTGAGTTGAATATAACACATACGCATGTCATAAGCATGGCCAGGCTTCATATTGATGTCAGGGATTTTCAGAAATGTTTTGATTCTATATATCATATCACAAACCTGACTTGTTTTATCAGTAAATGTACTTGTATTTTTACATGTTTATACCAAATTGTTCTAATATAAAAATCCTTTAAGAATTCTAATATTTCAAAGTAACCCTCATATTGGTATATATCATGTGTACTTAGGGTAGAACCTGGTTTAGGTAGGCCTGGTCATGGATCCACTTTTCTCCTAGCCTAAAAAGTGGTGGAGTCAATTTTGTACACCTATTTGTAAGCTAAAAATATGACTGAACCATCATTTTACCTCCCTCAACTATGGGACGAGTCTAATTCGCATTCAATGGTTTTGTTCTACATGATAATTATGTGGTATTACAGTAAGTGGCTTTATCTGACGTGGTACATTAACTTGGTACACATGTGTTGATATAGCATTTATGTGGCAATTCCACCAAAAAAAAAGTGGCCTACATGTTTGTGAGGGCACCCCTTCCTCTCTCCCTCTCATCTAGATATCCTCATCCTCCCTAGCGAGCCGACCTCAAGGCACATAAATGCTATAGAGAGAAAGAGAGAGGGGGCAGTGTCAGTAATGGACGCTTGTCATTGTCGTTTTGGTGGTGTCTCCCCTAGTGGCTCGTTTCAATGGCAGGGGCAACAGCGATACGAAGCCGAAGGTAGAGGTGGAGGTCAATGAGGACGACCATGGCAATCATGTTCCTCATGGGTTTTGTCATCACGCCTACCACCTCCATCATCGGTGGACTTTGCGGTGTGCCTCTGCACATTGCATGAAAAGGTGCTTATACTCAATCATAGGAATACCATGTATATGCCATATAGATGCCACGTTAGATCAGGTCAAGGTGCTAGGTAGATGCCACTTAAAATAAAACCACCATCAAAACTTCACAGGAAGGTATATCAGACTTTTTAATAATTGAGGGAGCTTCTACACCCACCCAATTTTACAGTTGGAGAATGCAAATCAAACTCGATGGAGGAAATGGACTTTTACCAGTAGGGTATGAGCTAGGGTTGAGGTGTAAAAGGTCCGTGGTCCATTACCGCACCTAGGTTTGTCCAAGGCCCAGATCAGCAAGGGAATTGGATCCACCTACAAGCCACAAATGGCCAGGCGAGCGTGTTATACTATGGGTGCACTATAAAATAGCACGAGACTTCTACTGTGTGCACACCAACATCATTTTCCTTGGTCACGATGCAAGCTTACACTAGAAAAAATTCTCTAGCTATCACATAGGTTTGGTGCGTGCAAAAATAGCACATTTCTTGCAGTCTAGACCCTGATATGTGGGTCCGAGGGTTTATAAAGCCACGTGTTAATGAGTAGTACTGAACATGCAGTACAATAGAGTACCCTCGCTCCATTTCTTGTGCTCTTTCTATGTAGCGCAGTGTATTTGGCACTTCATTTTCTTCTCTAATGCCCTCTAAGGTTCTTTGGTTTTTTTACTCTAACTTATCTAAGGCCCTGTTTAGTTCCCAAAAACTTTTTCCAAAAAACATCACATCGAATCTTTAGACACATGTATGAAGTATTAAATAGAGATAAATTAAAAAACTAATTGCACAGTTAGGGGGGAAATTGCGAGACGAATCTTTTGAGCCTAATTAGTCCATGATTAGCCATAAGTGCTACAGTAACCAACATGTGCTAATGATGGATTAATTAGGCTCAAAAGATTTATCTCGCGGTTTCCAGGCGAGTTATGAAATTAGTTTTTTCATTCGTATCCGAAAACCCCTTCCGACATCCGATCAAACGTCCGACGTGACATCTAAAAATTCCCTTTTCGTGAACTAAACATGCCCTAACTTATCTAGGTGTGTCATATATATCACTCTACTTGGAAAATACATATTTGGATCACTAATGGGGATTAAGCGAGTCATTTTCCTATCTAACTATCCACACAAGTATCATGTATACTAGGATTGAAAAAAGTAGCATATAGAAATATGAAAAAAATCCATAGTGTATTTTCCCCTTTCTCACAACACTACTCTAATTGGCAATACACAAAATTAGTGGAACCAAATCATTTCACAGGTGCCTGTTTTGATGAGTTGTAGTCTCAGTTCTCTCTCGCTTGCCATCCAACCATAGCAGCTTTCATTTTCTCCATGTTTCTGTTCTAGTCGATTACATTGTTGGATCTTGCAGTTACATTGCTAGGTTTGCACATTTCCAATAATAATTTTTTCAATCATACATGGCATGACATATGTAACACATGTCACATGCCTGTTCGTTTCTTCTGAAAGCGGAGGATTAAATTTTAATACTTGTGGCACGCTTTTCAAACTACTAAATGGTGTGTTTCGTGCGAAAACTTTCTATATGAAAGTTGCTCTAAAATATCATATTAATCTATTCTTTAAGTTTGTAATAATTAAAACACAATTAATCAGACGTTATTACCATCTCGTTTTGCGTGAAATACTTAATCTTTATCTTCATCTTCATATTCAGGAGATTCAAACCCCAGACATATGACTAAATTAATCCACAGTAGTGATCCAAATGTGTATTTTAAAAGTAGAGTGATCTATATAACATATTTAAATAAGTTGAATGACCCTCCATTCATTTTACTCTCAATATTATACTAGGAGACACCCGGTTAATTCAGAACCAGATCCTCTTACAGTGTTTTTTTTTTTACATAATAGGTTTTCATTAATCCGGCTTCAATATCCTCACGTTGGTTTTACAATGTTAGAGGGTAGTAAACTACTACAGAAAGAGCCATTGGTGCCGGTTGGGAAACCCTTGGATTTCCCAACCGGCACCTAGCAGGTGGCACCTTTGCGGTGGTCTCAAACGTGTCGGTTTAGGAACAGGTACCTTTCAGGTTCCAGAAATAAAAGAAATACAGTCGTGACGATGCATCTAGCTGCTCCTGATTACACTCACACCAGCATTGATCAAAAATCCCCAAATCACATAGCACAAATCAATCCAGAAAAAAAAAATCCCTAAATCGGTGAATCCCTAAATCATATAGCACAAATCAATAAAAAAAATCCACAAATCACATGCACAAATCGATCCAGAAAAAAAAACCCAAATAAGTGACGCCACTCTGATAGCCACTGACACCTCCCCGCCCACCACCGATGTTGGATCCGCCGTCGAAACCGCCTCGCCCACTAACAATGCCGGATCCATAGCGGGAGTTGCCGCCGATGTTGGATCCACCGCGGGAGCCGTCGACACCGGATGTGGTTCCTACCGCTGTCACTGTCGTCTTTGCCCGCGGAGTGGGGAGGAAGAGGGGAGGAGAGGGAGCCGCAAAAAGGGGAGGTGGAGGGGAGGGGGTGGGGGGAGGAGGTGAGGAGAGTCTAAGGGGGCGAGAGGGGGCTGCGAGTGGATAAGCCCCCTTTGCGCTAAAAAGATTAGTTATCAGGCTCCTGGCTTAGCTCAATTTTACGGGTGTTGATTTTTAATAAATCGGCACCTATAACATATTAAAGGTTTCGTTTTTTTAAAAGACCGATACTTATAGTATATGTTGTCGGTTTTTCTTTAAAACCGGTACTTATAGTATGTATTCAGTTCACAGAGGTGGGATACATGCCGGTTTTAACTATTTAGGTACCTATAGTGCCAACCTCAATGTGCCTTTTTTATAGTGGTAGTTCCTTTATCCACCGTCCTTAAAGCATCTAATGTTTCAAGCTGTTTCCATTATTAGTCCTGATTTCAAATTTTTGTAGGAGCGAATTTTAAATTAGGTTATTCGATGGCTAAGTTCCTGTTTGGAATGCTAAGTTCTTAATATAAAATGATTGCAAATATCCGGTTGGATATAGAGGCTGGGTAAAAAAAATACCTTTATCTAAACAAATAAAAAGAAATTATTAGGCCTAAGCCTAATGAATAGCAGCCGAGGTACAAGCCCAATGCGGTCCTCACTCGCAGACTCGCAGTAGCTATCTCTTTCGCTCGCGAATGGAAATATTTGCGCTGTTGGGTGCCGCACCTCGCTCGCCGCCGTCTATCATGCCGACGGGTGCTTTCCTCGCCGCCGTCGTCTGCGTACTGCCAGATCAGTTGCCAGAAAAATACAGTATTCCGATCCTTTTCGCTATCAGTTTCAGAGGAAAACAAGAACAGGAAGATGCAGAGGCGCCAAAGAAGAAGTGGTTGACTAATTGAAGATCAAATTCCCGGCTACTATCAAGTTAAATTCTATATACGCTACTGAGATGGAAGAAGAGGTTAACACCGTGATTCCAATAAAGTGAGAAACTCTGTTTCTTAGGTGACATCCGACGGATTTTAGTTGTTCCCAAGTACTGCTACTCCTTGGATATACTCCGACAACGACGAATTGGAGTGCGCTCACTGCGAAACTCGACGCGGTGACAGTCACTGCCGGCAAACGGTGGCTACCGCCTACCAGCACTACTAGAGTAGTAGTCGGGAACTCGGCATCGGACGACGGTGAACGTGACCGCTTCCTCACCATAGCATCTCGATCAAACGATCTCATGTGTTTGCGTCTTTGCGAGAGGTTGAAAGGTTGTTCGATCATGTTTATATGGGCAGATGGGTTGTTGTTTCCAGGTCGTCGGATGCGACTCGTGAGAGCACTCCTTTGGCAGTGCCCAGACGGTGTCGGCGAACGAGGAACAGCACCTGTCGATGCGATGGACGGCAAAATGGCGAGCGAGGCGCTGCGAATGGTGGCCGGTGCGAATATTTTCCCTTCGCCAAAGAACGAGATAGCGGTGGGCGGTGGGCGGTGGCGCAAATATTTTCCGTTCATGAGGGAACGATAGATAGCGACGCGAGAGGACCGCATTACGCCGTTCCTCAGCTACTATTCATTGTGCGTAGGTCTGAGAATAGAAATATTCACTCTGTAATGAAGCAAAATCAAGAGGAACGTTGGATCGATGCTTCGGGCACAGTGGATGAAGGAACTGCTGCCCGGCCAGTTCCCTGTTAGGCGTTCATAGTGCTCCGATGTGTCGTTCGGCCTACCCTCGACTCGTCGGAGATTTGCGGCCAACTAGCCATCGGGTGTGACCAAATGAGATCCGCGGAGCCAAGTTTGGGCACGTGTTCTTCTGACACACTGAGGCCGAGGAGCACCGCATTGTGGAGGACGTGGCCTCACTGCTTTGTGCCTCCACGCGCGTGTTCCCCTCCCCATCTCCAAGCCAGTGGTGAAGGAAGAGGAAGAGACAGTGGTGGAGGAAGAGGAGATGGCAGATCTGGTGCCTGCCTTGTTGACGTCCACGAGCCATGCCGCCGCTTGTCGTCGTGCCCGCTCCAAGTCGTCGAGCCTATCGTCGTCCTCCAATCCACGCCACCACCGCTTCAGCCGCCTCTCCGCCTGGTCGCCATCGCCTCTTTGGCTGCCTCTCCACCTAGGGCGCCCCACTGCGGTGGAAGGAGGGGGGGGGGGTGGGAGAGGGAGGAGAGAGAGAGGAGCTTGAGGTCAAGGTAACACTGCCGAGGTCGATTCAAAGCCGGAGAGCTCGATAAGCAACTCGGTGGCGCCGCCGTCCGTGGTTTTGTTGTAGGAGAAGGCCACCCGTGGGGCAACGGCGGTGGCTGGGACAGCGACCGTTGCACCATTCGGTGCTGCTGGGGCCACGCCTCTCTGTGCTGCTTTGTTTCCTCCGCTGATGTGAAACCAAGAGAGGAGAGAGAGGGGGGAGATAAAAAGTGAGAGGAGAGAGATGTGGGACCCTCTATAAAGTGACCTATACCGTGGAGTATGTGGCTAAGAACGTCTTGGTCTAAGTGTTGAGGTTTGGTAAATTATTGTGCCACACCGTTATTGCCCTTTAATTCAATATGAATGTGATACCAAAAATCCTCTTCCATTTATTCCGGCTGCCTAACCACGTCGAGGCCATCTAGCTGGCATCCATTGCAGCGATGGGAAGGAGGAGACCGGGGGGAGGGGCGGGGGGGGGGGGGGGGGGGGGGGTGGTTGGCTGGGGTGTAGCGTAGCCACTTCTGTCGTAGTCAAGCTCGCTCGCCGGGAGAAAGAGAATAGACATGAGGGAGAGAGAAAGAGGGGTGGTGTTCCTTGGCATGAGCCCGCTATTTATTTTTTCAAGTTTTTAAAACTTTCTTACTAATGTAATGCCATTTAAGCGTCATGTTAGATCAAACCAGATCAACATATCTTTTAATTTTTTTAATGCTGACTTAATGATACGTAGGATAAAACCATCGTTCAATTGTAAAACATATTCTTTGTTGGATCTGTGTTCTGTCAATGGAAACGGAGAAAATCACCTATTTTTCTTGACAACATGGAAATAGAAAATCACCTATTTTAAATTATCATAATAGAAATAGAAAAGAAATTGAAAAATTTTGCAAACCCAAGAAATTTTAGATTGGGGTAGGTATAGATGGCCATTCGGCCCGCCCGGCACGGGCTAGGCACGGCCCAAGAAGAATCTGGCTAGTACGGCACGGTCGGCTCTTCATGCCGGCCTGTGCTGGCCCACGTGCCATGCCTCAGACCCAGGCACGGCCCACCAGCAGTCGGGTCGGGCCATGCCGGCCCGAAGGAACTGGTGGCACATTGTGCCTTATTTGAAATAAGTCTATTTCCCCTCCTTCTTCTTTGGGCTGTGATATATATATATATATAGCTAAAATAAGTCTATTTTATGTCCCTATTCTTTTGGTCGTGCCATATAATGTCTATTTTTGCTCCCTATTCTTTGTGTCGTGTGTTATATATGGTTGAAATAAGTCTGCTATGCATCCTTGAACTTCATACCAAGCTTGGCCATGTCGGCCCGCTCATGCCATGCCGGCCTAGCGTGCCGGTGGGGAAGCCCAGGCACGGCCCGATAGTCGGGCCGGGATGGCACGGGCACGAACCCCAGTCGGGCCATGCCGTGCTTGGGCCGGGCCAAAACGCTAGGGGTGGGCAGAAAAAGACCGAATCGAAAAATCGAGACTAAGAAATTCGGTCATCAATTCGGTTCTAGGCAGTGAAAGACCGAATTTCGTTCGATCAATTCGGTTAGTCTCCTCGGTTAACCGAATAGACCGAAAATACCGAATTAACAAAAAAAAGTCTAAATGCAACCTAAATCCACTAAGTTTAATAGGATTAAACTCTAATTTTCACGTCCCTACTTTTTCTAGGCATGCAACCTAATAAGAGTCATTACTCATCCGTGCTTACGGATTTTTTTTTGTGATTTTTGTTTCGTAAATTTCCATTATTTCTTTGCATGTATGAAAATGTTGCTGAATTTCGGTCAGGACCGAGACCGAGACCGAATTTGTCGGTCCTGACATTTTTACGTTGAAATTCGGCTTTCACTTTTCAAAGACCAAGATAACCGATAGACCGAATACCGAGACCGAAAATTTCGGTCAGACCGAATGCCCACTCCTTCAAAACGCCGTGCCTTGGGCTGGGCTGTCGGGCCTCGGATCTTATGGCCATATATAGGTAGTGGTACGTTAAATGTCCTCTCTTTCCAGTGTAGGGATTCGTATCGATGTTTACTGTGTGTCCACTATAAAATAACGTACGAGACTTTCACTTTATGGCACACCAGCAGCGACATCATTTTCTTTGGTGACAACTAGCAATGCAGGTTCTACTAGAAAATATTCTTTGGAATAGCTATTAGCCTATCACGTAGGTTTGGTACCGGAAAAATAGCTAACTTCTCGTTTACTAGGATTTATGGAATTTTTTATTAATATTCTCTTTTTTGCTCTCTCTCTATATATATATATATATTAAATTTGTTTGAAATTGAGTATATACCCATTTGAAATGAGTATGAAACTTTTTAAAATGTTTAGGTATTAACGTTAAGTTCTTTACTGACTAATTCAAAGCAAGTTGAACTGAATTTGAACTTGTTTTTGTTAGATTTTAATTCTATGTATATAACATCTAAATATATAATTAGTTAAATATATAATCATGGATTGTGAAATAAAGTTAAATTTGAGTTGTTTTGTTGATAGGTATAGGTATGAATCGAATTCTTATAATTAGGTATATACTCACAATTCATAAATTTTAAAAAATTTAAGTGAATTTGTGTATTTGATACCATGGTGCCCCATACGGGTATATATTGCAGTTGGACATTTTAGCATACTAAACTTAAAAAATCGATTTTCGCATACTGTTACATAGCCATGTGTGAAAATGGGGATTTTCAAGGACATTTTGGTTTCACGTGGGTGCTCCACCTGCGCGCGAAAAGCAAGTCTGGTTATCCGGGAAAATCTTCTAGTATGTGGTAGTGAGTGATAAGTAAATTTACCCTGAAAGTTAATTATTCGATAATCATCATCAAATAAAAAAATCTAAAATCTAATTGGTTCAATGCTTCAATTCAACCTAGTTGATGTCAAATATATACAGGATACTATATACAATAAACATGACGGATGTTCCGAGGACGGACAGACGCCATTTCAAGAAGAAAATTCATGTCAAATCAAGGAGTCTCTGCATGCACGCGTACGGTCCAGAAAGGCATGGCTTAATTTCTTCCGACGAGCAAAACTGACGGGATTCAATCAACAAATATTCAGACTCCTCCTCACCCATTTTTTTTTAAATAAAAACCTCAAAAGGCAGAGGGCAAGGTCAAGTTTCAGTCGCTTCCATGTGGGCCCCATGTACCAGTAGAAGAGTCACAAGACGAAGACAAGTCCGCGGATTCGAGCTGTAGGCGACGGCCAGGATGGACCCGGCTGGCGTTGACGTCAAACTTGAGGTGCTAAAATAAAAAAAAAAAACTGGTCATGTAATCCCCCCTCCCCTATATCGGTTTCACCTATATAAACAGCCCAAGAAATCAAGCAAGAGCATTCATCGGAGGAAAAAAATAGATTCCATTTCAGAGGCAGCAACCAAGGCCCGAGGATCTCCTTCCCGTCCCAGTCAGATCGATCGCGGGAGGAAGAGGGGCAGCAGCGGAGGAGATGGGGGAGATGAACTGGGTGAGCAGGAAGATCCATCTCTACAACGTCACCATGGGCCTCTACATGCTCGATTGGTGGGAGCGCTGCCTCTTCAGTATCCTTTTCCACCTTACTCCTTACTGTTTACTTCAAATTATTATTATTGCTATTTTCTTGCTAATTTTGTCCTCGGGGTTTTGGTTGGACTCGATCCGCTTTGGCTGGAGTTGGTTTTTAGTCCAATTCGTTGTTGGGGATGACAGAATTACTGAAGGACAAGGGGGAAAACGGCCATCCAATTGGTCGCGCGTGGTCATTTTTTAGGCGTATTTCATCATTTTTTTCTTTTCTTGAAAAAATAATCAGCATGGGGAAATTTGCTTGCACGATTGTATTGTATTACTATTGTTCAGTTGTTTCCCTTTAACTGGAGTAGACATAATGGTGCTGATTCTGCTCTGGTTCATCTGCTTCAATGGCTCTCGCTTTGCCAGTGACGTCTTCGAGAGGTACACATCCTATTCTCATCAAATACTGTGGAATGTTTCAATCCAGTTTGGACCTGCTGGACCATAATTAGTTTCTTTTCCAATCTGTATGTTTTTGTATGAAAATGGAGGAACATAAGCTAATAAACATTCAGAATCATGAAAACTCTGAATTTTTTACCCTGTCATGACCTGGGGAGTGGGGACTCATGGCTTGGTGTGCTATGTGCTGTCTCATTTTGTTTTGTGCTTTTAGTCCATCTTTCGCAATTACAGTAGGTTCCTGGCAAAGTGAAACCCTTCTAAATATAAAAATAGTGGATGTCCTGGAGCTTGTTGTAAATGAATTAGAAGTAAAGGGATAAGGAATTATCTGCCGTGAAAATGATGAGAATTATATAAAGAAAAAAGAGGAGGAAACTAAAAGATAAAATTCAAAAGCCTTGCATATGCTCTTGGACACATGATTACCAACGAGTAAAATATATTTGGAGATTAATGCAACAACGGCACGGTATCACAATGTTTTTTTTTGAAAGATGAATTCATTATGCTCAATGATTGTATTTTCATTTGATATAGAGCAAAGAGAAGTTTAGCATGTTTTTTGACCTTTGGTTGTTGAGTACAGTATTTCTCTTTGGATCAGAAATCAACTATTTCCTTATCAGAGGTGGCTGCTGTGCAGTTCACCGCTAAATGTTCTCAAACTCACGGTGATCTCTGCTAATGGGCTTGCGTAGAATGGACAGCTAAAACTCTGAAATTTTTCCCCTGTGCCTTTTTATTTGTGATGTCCATGGTCTGAAGTCTGAAACACCACCCCACCATGAACGCAACTGGTAGCGACTCCAATTTGCTATAACTGTGAAATTTTCAAAAAAATTTCAACTCCAAAAATATATCTTGCCAAATGCATATCAAAACACACAAAATCAACAATAGAATTACTTTCAGAAAACTGAATGGAAAACGACAAATTTTGGTTTTGTGGGTTTGAAACTTTTAATCAGATGGTTCTGAGTTCTGACTAGTGACAAGACCATCCAACCTTGGCTATAGACGTAGTTGTGTTTGTACACTATAATACATCATGCTCTACACCAAAAGTAGCTGGTTAGTAGTTAAAAATATATTTGATTTGGATCATTCTGTTCCTGCTTTGAATTGTCCCATTTAAATTGTTTGTAATTCTAAGTTATATATTTCTAATGAACTATTTCGGTCATATATTGACCCCTAATTACTTTCGAATGAACCTCTTTCAGTCATCTGAAGGCTCGGATTATGCCCGGTGGAAACTATGGCATGGGTGTAGGCATGCCATCAACCTAAGTCTGCATTGACAAGTAAAAATAAGGAGGAAGGTTATGAAATTATGGAAGTGGCTTTGATAACTTAGAACTGTATTTTTGTGTATGAAATAGTTCCAAAATGAAATCTGCTCATGATTAATTTGTTCTTCCTGCATTGTGTGTAATTCTTCGTTAAATTTTGTTTATGAGCATAATGATCACCTTTTCCCCATCAATTACTGTGTGATCTGCCCTTTTGTGCAAAGTGAGTTCTCTCGTCTCCAATATCACAATCGGAACATTCACTTAAAAACATAGAACAGGATCTTGTAAACCACGCACCCATTTCTATCTGCACTGATTCCTCAAAGTTGTCAACCTATCATTATTTATCTCTCATTGTTCTTGTGTTACTGGTTTATTTTGCTAAATACTATTGTTCTGTTAGATTTCACTGTCATCGTCAAGTCCATGTCGACTTGGTTTGATAATGCAATACAAGGCACGAAGGTGGATCCTCCATTCAAATTATTGAACAACTAACATTGCTAGTATTGTCATACCTTCTGCAAATTATTTCACCTTTCACTAGCTCTGCACTAAACAACGTTAAGTTACTGCAGGAGTGGAGCAGTTGTTCAGCTTCATGCGTATAATGTTTATCGATCAGGTGGATATATAAATGGACAGTTGGACAGCGGGACATGGACCGAAGCATTTTTGTTTGAATTTATATCAACCACCAGCTTATAACCCCACATTCATTTACACATGTGAGTGTATATATATCAGTGTTTGTATCCACACCTGCTCACTTCACGGACCTGCCCTCTTGATATGATACGATTCACTCCTATGGGGATCAAAAGTTTAGCCATCAGTGACGAAGAATCACTCGATGCCAATGCAACGTGTATACATAAAGTCATGGAATACTCTTCTCTATAAAAGAATTGTTGTGGCCTCGGAAATGAGGGGTGTCAGGAAAACATCTTCGACAAATCATACCCTTCAGTAGGGGCGTCCCGGCTAAATCGGGTTCCCGTGCAAAATATTAAAATAGGCATCTAGTAGCCTAGTAAATTTTTTATAGTAAAATTAAAAACGGGCGTGACGATTAGCCGATCATCAGCGATGAAGTAGAAGCGGAGACCGGAGGGGACTGGGGAGAGGAGACGAAGCGGCTGCGGCATCGAGACTTTGGCGATACGCGACGACACGGACGCGTGAACGGGAGTATGATGGAAGATGGATCGGTTTTCCTTCTGCAGCGTTTTGGGCCTTGTTTTATTACTATTTGGACTGCAAATTAACAAAATTAAAGCCTAAAATTTGGGAGCCCTGTTCGGTCGCATAGCCCGCCGGGCCCAAGGACGCCCTGCTCTTCAGGCTCTCATTAGGGTAGCTACGGTGCCTCTATATATGATGCACACAGGCACAACTTGATCTGCAATACTGATTGGCACATATGAAGCCGTGGTGATTAACAGAGGCTAGCGAGCTGTCTATGCCATTGTCATGATGTCATCATCAGGTTTTTTTTTGATAATGGAATATAGTCTCCCGGCTTTTGCTAAAAAAATCTATAGACAATTATTACATAATAAAATTCGAGAAAAGGTGTGAATATAAAAAAATAGAACACACCATAAAAGAAAACGGATAAACCAAACTAACAATGGGAGAACACATTTATTGTAGTCTATTTATGAATCTCCATCCATAATTGGCAAAAAGTTGCATAACCGTAGTCTCCAGCTTGTGACATGCAACTTTCAGGCACTCCTTATCTTCATCACACCTTTGTAGCTGTGCTCACGTTCGGAGCCAGTGGGTTGCCCTGAAAATGACCTGCATGTAAGAAATTGATGGTGATTTATTGAAAACCATATCATTCCTACTCAGCCATATCACCCAACAAATGGCAGCAGATCCAACAAGTATCAGTTTACTCTTTTTCTTATCAACTCCCAAAAGCCACCCATCAAAAATATGTGATATATATACTAGAAGGAAGATTGAAACCAAAAGAGAATTGAACTGCTCTCGATATGAATTTCAAAAAATGGCAGTCCATAAAGAGATGTTGAATAGTCTCATTCTTCCTGCAAAAAACAACATCTCAAGCTACCATTCCAATTCCGCCTCACCAAATTATCCTTAGTTAACACAACCCCTTTAAGCAAATACCACGTGAAAATCTTAATCTTAAGTGGCATCTTAAGCTTCCAAATGCACTTATTCCTCTCAATATAGCCATTATTAATTAAAGCTAAGTACATTGACCTTACTGAAAACATACCATTCTGATGAAAATTCTATCTAAAGATGTCAGAAGAAGAATTCAACTAGATATGTACAATGGAAGCAAACAATTCATGCAAAAAAACAAGATTCTGGCCAACTAAGACTCTTCTAAAAGAGACATTAAGCGGGATAGAACCCATAACAGCGGCAATCGAAGATGATTTCCTTCGGACAATAGCGTATAAAGATGGATATTTATCCTTGAAGGCCAAGTTACCTAACCATTTATCTTCCCAAAATCTAATTTGTTTCCCATCATTGATAATCCAAGATCCCATATTTAGGAAAGTAATTTTAACATTCATAAGACCAGACCAAAAATGGGAATCCCCCTGTTTCTTGTCAACTTGGTTATAGACTTATTATAAAGATATTTTCTCTTCAATAGGTCTTGCCAAACCCCTTCCTCATTGATTAGCTTAAACAACCATTTACTTAAGAGACATGTATTCTGAATTTCCAAATTATGAATCCCAAGATCCCCCTGGTCCTTAGGTTGGCAAACAATATCCCACCTAGAAAGCCTGTACATTTTCTTATGATCATCCCCTTGCCAAAAGAAGCGTGATCTATAATAATCAATTTTTCGAAGAACCCCTTTCGTTATCTCGAAAAAAGATATCATAAACATGGCTAAACTTGAAAGTACAGAATTGATCAAAACCAATCTACCTCCAACAGACAAATGATTGCCTTTCCAACTACTAAGCTTTTTCTTAATTCTTTCTTCAATACCTTTCCAATCTTTATTAGAAAGCTTCCTAAAATGCATTGGAATTCCTAGGTATTTAACAGGAAAAGAACCAACTTGCAACCAAAGATATTAGAATATTGATCATAACATTCCTTTGCTTGACCAAAACAAAATAATTCACTTTTGTGAAAATTTATTTTCAAGCCAGATAACTTTTCAAAAACAGATAGAATCACTTTTAGATTCTTTGCCTGCTGCAAATCATGCTCTAGAAAGATAATAGTATCATCCGCATATTGTAAGATAGACAAACCATCATCAACCAGATGAGGAATTACCCCATTCAGAAGTCCAGTCTCTTTAGCCCTCTTAATTAATAAAGCAAGTATATCAGCTACTATATTAAAAAGAATAGGGGATAAAGGATCACCTTGCCTAAGACCTTTGTAAGTTTGAAAATTGTTACCAATTTGATCATTAACTTTTATACCAACATGGCCACCTTGAATAAAAGACACTATCCACTCACACCATTTAGGAGAGAAGCCTTTCATTCTTAATGTTTGTTGTACAAAAGACCATTTTATTTTGTCATAAGCCTTTTCAAAATCAATCTTTAAGATTACCCCACTTTTATCTTTATGATGTAATTCATGCAATGTCTCATGTAAAATGACCACCCCTTCCATAATGTTTCTCCCAGGAATGAAAGCAGTTTGAATGGGACTAATTACCTTTTGAGCAACACCCATAATTCTCTTAGTAGCAACTTTGGTAAAAATCTTAAAGCTAACATTAAGTAAGCATATAGGTCTATATTGTTGAATTTTCATAGCCTCTACGCACTTAAGCAAAAGAATAATAGTACCAAAGTTAAGAGAATATAAAAGCAAATTCCCAGCATGAAAATCTTTAAACAGTTCCAATAAGTCAAATTTAATGACATTCCAAAAAAACTTGATAAAACTCACCAGGAAATCCATCTAGACCCGGTGCTTTGTTGTGCTCCATTTGGAAAATAGTCTCCTTAACCTCATTTTCAGAAAATTCCTTAGTTAAAGCTTCATTCACCAAATGAGAGACTTGGGGAATGTCAGCAACATTATTCTCATCTAACTGAAGATCAGAATCATGAGGAGGTCCAAAAAGACCTTTATAATAAGTGGTAATATTCGACTTTAAATTGGCATCACCACTTATTAATTGATCACCATCCTGTAATTGAAAGATTCTTGTTTTTCTATGTTTACCATTTGCTACCAAATGGAAATACTTTGTATTAGAATTACCTTCCAAAATATCCTTAGTTTTAGCCCTCTAGTACCATTTAATTTCTTCTTCCCGTAGGATCGAAGATAATCTATTCCTACAAACCATCTAAAATCAATTTCCTCTTGAGATAAAAGAACAATTTCTGCCTTTTTTGTCCAGAGCATCCAACCTATCTAAAAAATCCTTTTTCTCTTTTTTTATATAGACCACTTGTATGTTTAGCCCATCCCCTAAGATGTTGCCTTAGACGGCGTATTTTTGCATGCCAATGTTCCATAGGGTATGACCTTTCCATAGGGGTATGACCTTCATCTACACTAGACTAAACCTCCTTTACCATATCAACAAAACCATCACGTATAAGCCAACCGAGTTCAAATTTAAAACTATGCTGAGCATTAGTACACGAAGAAGATTTTGTATTTAAAAGCAAAGGAGTATGATCCGAAATATCTCTATTAAGAGCAACAACAGAAGATAAAGAAAACTTTTGCTCCCACTCTGTTGACACTAAAATCCTATCCAGCTTCTCATAGGTTGGGTTTGCTAAATTGTTAGCCCAAGTGAAATTCCTACCAGACATTTGTAACTCCCTTAGACACAACCCATCGATAATAGAATTAAACAAGAAGGGCCATATATCATCAAAATTATCATTATTTTTCTCATTAGGGCTACGAAGAATATTAAAATCACCACCAATAAGAATTGGTAAGGTCTCATGACTGCACATATTAACTAATTCAGCAAGGAATTGATCCTTAAACTCATTTTGTGCAGGATCATACACCAAAACTAAACCCTACTTAAAATTATCAACCTTATTACGTAAATGGAACTTAATATAAAAATCACCCTCATCAATCAAACCAATGTCAGCATTTAAAAAATTAATACCCAAGAGAAGGCCCCCAGATCTTCCTCTAGGAGGTTTACAATGCCACAAAAAATCTTTACCAGCACAAAGATTGTTATGAGCAGATGAGCTAAAATCTTTCTTAACAGTCTCAGACAAAGCAATAAAGTCAAGTAGTGATCGTGCGGCTTTCTCCCTCTGATGCTACTCTTACTTGATCCACTCTCATGTCCAGTATCTCGGCTCTAGCTTGTAACAATGTGGTGTATTTAACTCCCATCACCTACGCAATCAGTTCAGCACCCATATTTGCTTGACATAGTGCATGGAAGATAGATAAACAGAGTCGGAACCGCTCAATGGGCAGGGTGGGTCAGCCATCAGCCGGTCCAGCTTCAGCCCGCCCCACTCTTGGACCGCCTACCACCATATCCTATGCACAATTGGCCCATAAGTGAGCAGCCAAGTGCTGAAATTGTTTTTTTTTTTCACGGAGTCACAGTAGCCGCACCCGCACGTGACACCTTGTTTACCTTCGACCTGAATCGACGCATCCCATCGACCCATCGCCATCGGTTCGCCTTCTGTTCGAATCCGGCGAGTTGTTGATGCCACTAGGGAGTACCGTTGCGAAATGGTCCTGCTGCGCACCGCTCACTCTTGCTCCCTCGGCGG